TTACACAACTTTGAGAGCCAACTGAGGGGCATTATATCTGGAAATCGTGCTCACGAATGTCAAGTAGGAACGACTCGATAATTATATTTTCTTGGCCTTGACCGCGGCATGACCATGAAAGAAGTTGAGTAACGTTTTTATGACGGATGCTTGGGTGATCTTGCAAGTCTTTCCGAAAAAGTTTGCACATCCTCGCGAGCGTCTAACTCAGAAACTAAAGGGGTTTAGGTCTTAGGAAGGGCAGAGCTGTGAGCGGCGCCAAATAATCTCCAAGATGGCTAGCTTCCGTTCAAAACCCCACACAAATGTGGAACCCTCCCCCTAAGTGAAATACTTATTTCCTTGCGTTTTTGAAAGCGTGAATAATTTTGCACTCGCCTTGCTGAGAGACCAGCAAATCGACCAAATATTCACCCCTGGTTAACCTTGAAAGATGGTTTAAGAGTGAATCCAAACGCGTTTTGCAAGCGGCTGCCAACCTAACATTACGTGGATGGTAGACGACCTCGCTGCCGCCATCACAAACATCATTTACCGGCTGTGCCGAACGCAGACATATGCCCGACCCCAAGCGGTATTCAAATCACGCAGAAAAGCCGCCCATGTCTATACGGTCGGATCCAGAACATCCTAGGGCACTGTGTGTGCCTTCACATCGTCTCGAGGTTTTGGATGGTGTGTGATGCCGGCACCCGCGTCTGCTTTTATCGCTGAACTGTACCCTATCGCAGCCTGCACTACCTCGCACCTGGAGCTTTCTTGCTTGGCAACCAGAACCCCGCTGCTTCAGCGACTCAGCTGGCTCAGTTAACATTGGAACGTGTCCGATCTCTGAGAGCAAACGAAAACAAACGGGTGGCTTTGGTTTGAATATCCAATCACGTTGGGCTGGCCGATAATCAATCCGACGGCTGCATGTGGCGAAGGCTGCGGCGCTGCTCCACGAACGGAACACTCAGGCTCAGGTCAGCGACCTCTACGCTGCTGAGGGACACTATCAGCTTGCTGAGTGGCAGAAGCCGTGGGATCAGAACTGCAGAAATAGTCCGAATGCCATCCAGCAGAAGACGAAAGCTGGATTTCCGCTTTCCGGATGATTACAAAGATAAAATACTTCTGACCCGTCTGTATATAGGTCACACAGCACCCGCAGGTTCCGACTGAACAGCTTAGCGCATGCCCCAACACGTGAACCATGCGGGCACGTGTTGACCGTCCAGCACAGATCTGGTGACCGTCCTTCTTACGCGTCTCTAAAGGCTGCAGATAGTTTCTGCAGACGCCCTGCCACACCGGTATCCCTTTCAGGTGAACTCCACGCGTTTGAACTTACTGTCATAATGCAGTCTTCCGCCGCGTTTGGACTGAACGTAACTTATTCCCCTCAAGAAGATTGGCGTATACAACAAATGTGTTGACTGATTTTTTGTCGTGTACCGGCATTGGGGTTAGTGGTGGCATTCTGGTCTAGACCGTTATTTTCTCTTACGTTGAACCGGTCTAGCGTGTTTCTTACCGGTTCGACGTATCTCTTACCGGTTTGGCGTGTCCCCTTTGTTAACGTGGTACCGGTCACAGTTCAGTACCGCAGTTAAGACGACTTCAACAGCCGAGGGGCTTTTAAAAACCGAAGTAATTCAGAATCAGAACAGATTCCGGCATGAGACAAAAATTTGTCGACCTGTCAAAGTGTAGTCGGTTGTTTTGTGCTTTCTTGTGATTCGTAGTTGGAATGAGTCAACCAAGTCGTCAGGGAGTAGATCCGGATAAGAATGCAAGCGTGTACGTGTACTTAGACATTATGCTTCCATTAAAGGGAGTGTTCCACATTAATGCAGGGTTCTGAACTGAAATAACCATCTTGAAGACATTTCGGCGCTGTTCACAATTCTGCCTTTCTTAAGACCTAAGCGTGTTTCCCTTTTGAGCTACACGCCCGTGAAAAGGGGAAAGGTATAACGGGAAGAGAATGGCAGTCACATTGACATTCATGCCACCGCATTAACGTCATTCAAGTTTTGTCATTTAAGAAGTCATGCGGCGATCAAGGCGAATAAAGTTGTAATTACCGACGCGTTCATATCCGGCGTTCGTGAGCCTGATTCCCAGATATAACGACCGTCAATAGGCTCTCAATCAGTGTTGTGCACTGTACGATGACGTAATCAAACCATGACACAAAAAACATATTTACTACACAGAGAATTGTGTTGTCTGTAGCCCTCTTTTCCAAAAAGCACAGTGATTGTTATAAGTAAGCTTGTTTCATCATATCGGATGCTGGCTTCATTATCTTCAAATGTGAAACATCCTCTTAAATGCAAACTTTGTTATAACCAAGGCAAATGTACATTTTTCGGTTCTTCCGCGTCTGCTCGATTGTTCGAATTAAACCCCTCGTTGTTCTCGTTAAGTCATACATAAGTTCGCCTATAGTAATTTATATTAGTTCAAGGCAGCTAGCGTTTCAAGGGAATTCGTTCCCCATTATCTAAGCGACGCAAAACAGTCGGACGGTAAATATTCAAATGTAGCAAAATATGAGGCAGTGCTCTGCGAGACATATACAAAGGCGAACGATCTGATTATGCATCCAAATATCAGGTCAATTTACAAAACATATACAAACACATGCAGAACACTTTTTCAGTCAGCTTGACACCATGGAAAGTTCGAGGCAATGGATCTACCTGAAAGCATTGGGTGAACAGGTCCTAAGTGACGCATGTCCTGAGTTCTTTGTTTAAGTCAGGTATTCTTTCTCTGATGAACATGACCTTCAGAACTTAAAAACGGCGATTGTTTGGACTTGATTTTAGAATCTGTGTGTTTCAATCATGTTAGAGCGTAGGAGTTTTAGATAGTGAGGTTTGCACGTACGCTGGTCTGGCGCCCGCTTGTGCAGGTGCATTGTCATGCGTCGTGATAGAGATGTCATGCCATTCCACTGTAAGTAGAGGCGACAATGTCCGTGCGTGGATTTTAATTCATGCACTATAGTGGTGCGCCTTAGTTGATTTTTGTCTGCTTTCACTTGTCAGGTTTCTTTCATTACAACGCTTCTAGTTATCCTGCTCGTGTGATAGATAGGAAGCCTGATCTCGGTGTCATTGTCAGTTGCTGTAATCTTTATCCTGATGAAGTTTCGCAATCCTTTTTCGTCCACCTTATATGACGGGAAAAGTTGCTTGTGATAAAAAAGTTGATGGGCCGTTTTGTTGTGGTGTTCTTAGGTTTCGTTTATTCAAGCTGGGCCTCATTTCTTGGTCACTTGCGCTGTTCGAATAGCCGTTATAGAAGAAGAATTCCTTGCATCGTTCAACTTCAGATGCATTTTGTCCCCATAAAACGTGCTCCAACTGGTTCGGCATCCACGACTTACAGCCGTACGGCGCTATAAGCGTTAAGACTACAGCGCGTCAAACCATACAGCGACCTAACAGAAACTGACAATTGGCTACGTCCTTCAAGCCGGTGAGCTTCTGGCGTCACGAACACAACCAGCGGCAGCCTTGCACTGAACTGAAATTACAGTCGCGAAGCGATCACTCAAGAAACACGGAAATGTATTATCTAAAATGTCACGAGCATTTCAAACGTCGCGTAGCCGACTACATATGTCACGAGGTGCCGAGGACAGCCACCTTTCCTAATAATAAGCTAATTCACTTGGCATTTCATGCTGTTTAGTACGTAAAGCGAATCTTGGTTGAAAAAATATGTGAAAAGCGGTGGCTTGAGGGGCATTGGAAGGGCATTGTGTTACCACTGATCTGTAACGTCAGCACTGGTGTGGTTGAGCTTGCAGGATATTTCTGTTCCCTGCTGAAAATTTCTCTGATTAAAATCAATATGTTTGGAAGCATCTTGCGGCTCACCTTGCTCATGCGGCGAAATGTCAATGTTTCGACATGCATTTTACACAAGCTCACACTGCAGGCGCTCGAGAGTACAGACCAATACTAAGCTTCGAGTTTCGTCTAATTGGGATCGTCTGTCGCACTTTGCTTCCATTCTCGCACCAAGTAGCTTGCAAAAATGCTCACTTTTGTCACCGATCATATCCCGTAAATCGTATGCTTTGTCACCCCCACCGAGAGCCGTTCATCTTGAAAACGTGCTATTGCAACACGTATTCGAATTCTGCACATTTTCACGGACCACTTTACCACAGATACCGTAATACCCAATAAGACAAAACGCCAACCTATGTGACATTGCCGCTTTTAATCAAACAGCGTATGCCTGGATGGAGGAAAGCAAAACCACGATAGGTCAGTCATTTTTTCAGGGTCAAGAAGAGAACGTATGATTTAAAGTAGACGGTCGTCAAAATTCATTCCATCGGCTTGGCTAACGATTTTTGCCACATGTCTTTCATTGCTGCCCAAGTACAGACAAGGTGGTTTTCGTACGCGACCAATGCAGAATGATATTCTTCGGTCAGACATGTCGCGATGAAAGGTCAATAAATAGCCTCATCAAAAATAATGATGGCAAAACTTGTCACCTCGCATAGTTGCCATTGTGAGATAACCTTGTCGAACTGCAACTGTCCAATATTTGGTCGGTTTAGACGGCCACCTTGCGTTAGCAGAAAACGATTGCACAATTTCGCTCGGCAATTGGTTTCCTGGTAGAGTTTTTTCTAATTTTTGTTCGAAACTTTAGATTCGCTCGCATGATATTCCTAGTTGATCGAGCAGGTATACAAAAAAGTCGTTGGATTCCGCAGAATTAGGCTACCCACCCATTCTGACCCCGGGGCCAAACCGAGTTACGGCACGAACATCGAAAAAAAGTGGTCACAACCCAAGCACCGACGTGCGAGTGAAACTACTGCTCGCCCGGCCAAGAGCAATAGTTCCACTCGCCTCCTGAACCTCCCCAGGACGCCGGCGCCGACCTGGTCCGGTTGCGCTCCTGAGAACGCTCCGCCTGCATCCCGGCGCCCAGTGACACCCGATCGCCAACCGCTCAAAAACACCACCGTGCCCTCATGGAATGATCGCTCGTATATTTGTCGACGCTGAGCGCGGACAACAAATATATGTACGAAGTACATATGCGCGTAAAAACGAAAACACCCCGCTTCCGGTCACAGGTGCGTCGAGCGCGCGGCGCCGGTTGCCGGTCCGGCGTGTCCCCACAGCACGGCCGTAAAACGTCGCCGAGTTCTCGCGTAAGACGGAAACACGCGCCGGCGGAAGGCGGCGTTGAACAGAGTGACGCACACTGCATGGGAGTTGAAACACGAGCAAGATGGCCAGCGGATACCGCTGGCGGAGAGAGCGCGCCGCGAGCCTCCAGAAGGGAGGCTGCCGCGCCCGACAAAACAACGGTAACCAAACCCGCACAGCAAGATCACCGAAATAAAACCACGCAGCGGCGAACAGGGCAGGCGCACCACACCATCGCGACCCCCGGCCATGGGCATGACCCAGCCGGGGGTGAGCAGCCGCCGCCAAACGCAGGCACGCAGGCACGCACGAACGCGCGGGCGCGGGGGCGCACAAACACACACACACACTCACACACACGACGCGCGCGCGAACACAGAGCGGCGCCGCGGCACCGCGACGGCTGCGGAACGGCTGGACAGCATCGCGGACAGCAGGTACTCATAAAACGAGACGGCAAGACACGGCTCGCGCGGCCGACACGCAGCACTCACAGCACGCACAGCCCAACGCCAGGCCGAGGAGCCGCCGCCGGTCCGTCCATCCGCACCGGCCACACGCGGACACTCCCGACAGTCACAGAGTCCAAGTCACCTGGCCGAGTCAGTCACGGACCGTCCGCAGCGGGAGGCCCAGGAGACTTTGACTCCGTCTCTGAGAACTGCAGCGCGCGGACGCCGAGCCTGAGCCACAGCCGGCGGAGGCGCCGCTAGCCCTCCCGGACACGGCCGCTCGGACCTGGTCACCGGCGCTGACCCTCGCCTGCCGCGCGCCACCCGGCGTCCGACCCCGGCTGACCAGACCGACCTCTGGCCGCAGCTAATGCCGCGGTCTGACAGCCTCCGGCGGCTCCAGGCTGGACGGGGCCCGGGTCGCGACGCGCCGGCCCGGCACGGCCGCGCCTCATCTGTACAGCCGGGAGAACTCGCGCAGCGCCTGCACCGCCTCCTGAGTCGTCTCGGCGCTGCCAACGGAAGCGCAGTCAGACGAGGGTTCGGCACGGTGAGGTACGCAGCCAGAAGCGGCAAGAGACCTGACATCAATCGGATGAACTGGCCCTGATGTACGCCAACAACCGCAGTGGACCGTAACACAGCAGACGCTATAATTATTCACTCCAGCGCACACTGGAAACGGCAAATCCTGCGCCAAAAATGTTGACCAATCGGCGTATAACCAACGAGCGTATCACGTAGGCTGGTGTGCGTATATATTATAGCCACAACACCTCTGGACAAACAAGGACACATGCAACTGGGACCCTTTCCACCGGTATCGGCGCATCCGCGGCCTGCACCCACCTGGTAACAGACTTGTGGAACTCGACCAGCTGTTTGTGTGTGGCGGTGACAATGCCGCCGGCACTCTCGGTGGGTAGCGACTTGAGCGTCTGCTCCAGCAGGCGGCACACGGCCTGCAGCGGCGAAGGGCCGGTCAGGCTGGTGCCACCGCCAAGGGGCAGCCACCGCGCACGCCGAGGGGGACCAAGGGAGCGGGTGTCGCGAATCGCGAGCTGCGGGTATGCTATCGCGAATTTATTTGAGAACTTCGGAATAATACCACGGCTTTAGTGTTTTGAATGCGTGGGAACAACAAAACGCACAGATGACAACGGCCTCACAACGTATATATATATTAGTGTACACGCGGATTGGAGCAAGCAAACATAATGCAGGCACACTACTGCACGACCCCATACGCTGATCAGCCTGAAGCACGTCACGGAGATCCTATCACCACGAACACTTCCACGGCCACATGAGCCCGCGATCTCACCCAGATTGCACAAAGCGCGACCCCGCCTCGCGCAAACAAAGCGCTACCCTAGCACCAGCTGTCCATAACCTCCCCACTCTACCAGCTGCCCATAACTCCAACTCACCGGCCGGTCGGTGAGCAGCGCCTCCATGAACACCTCGCCGATGTCGGGGATCATGAAGCTGGCCACGCAGAAGAGCGTAGCCTGGATCAGGTTGCTGATGAGCGCGGCGCCGAACTCGACGAACGCTGCCGCCACCAGCTCCCGGCGCTGCTCGAAGTCGTCGCGCTCGTCGTGTTTGCGGCCGCAGCGCAGCAGCTCCGCCAGGTACTTGGTCACCGAGGCGTTGGCGTCCCTGCGACCGGCGGGTGCGGTGAGGCCGTGTCGGCACATGGTGAGCGGCAGCAGGTGTCAGTGACACGCTGCTTTTGACCGAGTCGACGCATGTTCTTTAGGTGCGTCGTGTGGCTCAATGCACACAATGGAGACGGAAAAGTCGGGAGCGTGACACGGTTAGGTGCTCCATATGCGACAGCGCTGACTGATTGCGCATACAACGGAATTCAAATCCACAGCTTAGCAACGGGAAATAATAAATTGGCTGTCATTGACGCCGCGCATGAGAGCGCTTTTGAGATGCAGTTCCGTTTGCATCACATCACACAGCTTCCTATCCACGATTCCGTGACCGGTAAGCGCCTCCATCAACCATGATCCAACCTGGTCGCTGACCCGGCGCGAACCAAGATTAACCTAATTACCAGCCACCACGTACAGTTCAGGCCAGGCTGAGCCCTCAGCCACGCCTGACATGACCTCGCTCTGACCTGTGGTCGAGCGTGACGGCCGACACGGCCAGCCGCGTGACGTCGGCCGCGTGGGGGTGCTGCAGGTACGGCAGCGTCACGCGCTGCACCAGCCGCGTGCACAGTCGGAACAGGTCGTCCACCGTCTCCGGGTGCTGGCGCAGGCCATCCGTGCCGGAGAGCAGCGGCAGCGCCGCCGGCAGCAGGGCGTGCAGCGTCGCCAGCAGCGGCGGCACGCACGCCGGCTGCGCCGCGTACTCGTCCACGATCACCTGGCGGCCGAGACGGGCACTAGCGTCGGCGCGCGCGGCCACTAGATGAGGGGCGGGAGAGGGATGTGCGGACAGAGGACGCACGGCGGGGAGGAATCCCAACCCATGCGATACATGGACGACGGCCAGTTCCACAGCTGCTTGCACGGGCTACGTAACTCTAGATAATTACACAAGTTTAAGCTACTTAGAGGTCAGGGGAACACACAACAATGAGGCAGAGGTGGCAACGACCGCGGAAACATAAGCGAAGTAAGCAAATAACAATGACCCTATCACGTAAAGCATCAGCAGAGGGCACCCTTCGTTTAATCAATCGCAAAGCATATATCAAAGGATAATCCACAGCCGTGCATTCATACTCCGACCTCTCACAGTCATCCCATCACAGATGTGCATTCACACTCCGAACTCTCACAGTCATCCCATCACAGATGTGCATCCACACTCCGACCTCCCACAGTCATCCCATCACAGATGTGCATTCACACTCCGACCTCTCACAGTCATCCCATCACAGATGTGCATTCACACTCCGAACTCTCACAGTCATCCCATCACAGATGTGCATTCACACTCCGAACTCTCACAGTCATCCCATCACAGATGTGCATCCACACTCCGACCTCCCACAGTCATCCCATCACAGATGTGCATTCACACTCCGACCTCTCACAGTCATCCCATCACAGATGTGCATTCACACTCCGAACTCTCACAGTCATCCCATCACAGATGTGCATTCACACTCCGACCTCCCACAGTCATCCCATCACAGCCGCGCATTCACACCCCGACCTCTCACAGTCATCCCATCACAGATGTGCATTCACACTCCGACCTCCCACAGTCATCCCATCACAGCCGCGCATTCACACCCCGACCTCTCACAGTCATCCCATCACAGCTGTGCATTCGCACCCCGAGCTCCCAGTCATCCCTTCACAGCTGTGCATTCGCACCCCGACCTCCCACAGTCATCCCATCACAGCTGTGCATCCACACCCCGACCTCCCAGTCATCCCATCACAGCTGTGCATCCACACCCCAAGCTCTCACAGTCATCCCATCACAGTTGTGCATTTACACCCCGAGCTCTCAGTCATCCCACCACGTCACCACAGCGCGCGCCCGCAACATGTCTCACCGAAGCCAGGTAGATGAGGCAGCTGTGCTGCGTGGAGGCGTAGATCTCGACCATCTGGGCGGTCATGGGCTGGAGGAGCGCGGCCGACTGGCTACCCACGCAGCGGACGGCGAACCGGAGGCAGCGGCAGCAGCGCTCCATCACCCGGCCGTCGCGCTGGTACCGCCGCATCACGCCCGAGAGCACCGGCCACACCTGCTGCCCAGCGCCGCACACACACAGGTGACGGCGGGCGGGCACCAGGCCGTGGTCGGCCGCCGCCAACACACGTGTAATGCAGAGAGGCAGGCATCGCCAAGGCCTGACGACACGATAGCTTTGGGAGGCTAAAGAGGCTACGACAACGGGTTGTGGAACCGCTTGTCTTACTCGCAGTCGTAAGACGGGACAGCTTGATAATCATATATCCACCCCCTCGCGGTCTTCATACGGCTTGCAAACTGAGGCAACGCGCCAAGGTAAGAACACGCGCTCCAGGAACGCGCACACATCACGTTCACTTCTCTAGATCAGAGCACCAACCACCTCCACGAGACCGATGATGATTTGGGCTTCACCACGTGCCGACTGCGTTGGTCATATGGCGCCCGTTCCTCGACACCTCTCCATTTGAGAACCGCCCAACGCAGACGTCATTACCCGCGCGTAAAACGGACCCGGGCGCGTCGCCGCAGTGGCGGCGGCTCCGGCTCACCTCCTCGAAGACGACCTTGCAGGGGTGCACCTGCCCGTTGCTGATCTCGGGGTGCGTGTGCCGGAAGACGGCGGCCAGCCGGTCCAGCCAGAGCACAGGGTCGGCGCGGCTGCCCTTGGCCGGCCGGGCGTCCCCCGCCTGCGGCGAGGCGTCGGCAGGCGTCAGGCTGCACCGGTGGCTAGGAGGCGTCAGGCCGGCGGCACACCAAACGGGCCGCACACTAATGGCACGGCCATCACGTGCATTCCCAGCCATTTGCCAGCCTCACGTACGCTGAAGACCACGTTGCCATCGAGCGTGGTGAAGGTACGCTTTGACAAAGACTGCCGTCTTGTTAAGGACGCGGCGATCAAACTGCGAGTGTTAATCGCCGACGCAATGGCGCTCCGACCGCAACAGCTGACGAACCCGACTCTGCAACGCATGGACGTCGAAACGAGGATCGGCGAGCTTGTGACCATGAATATGGAGGAGAGGCGAGTGATTGGGCGCGGCGGGATCTGAAAGCTTATGAACATGGACATGGAGGAGTGGCAAGTAACTGGGCGCGGCGGGATCTGAAAGCTTATGAACATGGACATGGAGGAGTGGCAAGTAACTGGGCGCGGCGGGATCTGAAAGCTTATGAACATGGACATGGAGGAGTGGCAAGTAATCGGGCGCGGCGACAGCCAACGTCATTCGACACCCGTGGGGAAAGCGGTCTAAGCCACACCGCTTTTGGCGTTTACTGGCAGATTCCGAAGCAAACTTAGCTTCCGCCTATTCAGGGCCGACTGAAGGCGCCATTCAAGTGCACCAAATCATCCCACCAGCCAGCGACCACCAGCATCCAGTGCAGTGTACCGTGATGCTGCACCTGGTAGGCATTGTGGGCGCGGCAGATGCAGCCGGCACGCGGGAGCGTCGCACCAGCGCCGCGTCGGCGCCGGCGACCTCACCTGATCGACGGTCTGCCGCAGCGGCACTAGCTGTGACTGGCAGATCTTGCCGAACATCTCCGGGATCGCCTCGGTTGGCATGTTGGCCACCACCTGGCGGCGGAGGCGCGAGGCCGAGTCAGACGAGTCACTTTCCGCGACGCGGACGCGGCACGGCCTGCCACCCGCCTCCCCGGCGGAGGCGTACGGCCGAGTCAGACCAGTCACCTCCCGCGGCGCGGACACGGCACGGCCTCCCACGCGCCTCCCCGGCGGAGGTGCACGGCCGAGTCAGACCAGTCACCTCCCGCGACGCGGGCACGGCGCGGCCTCCACCCGCTTTCCTACACTGCTGCTGCTGCGTACACGCGTGATGCCGTTCTAGAATGGAGACTTAACATGCTGCGTCACCAACAGCCCAATGTATGAACTGAACAGCATCAGGTGACGATGACCTATCGTTGATGTCTGTTTTGCTGCCGTGTTCCTCTGAGACAAACAGCGCTGCTAATCAGCCGGCACCGCGGCGCGTCGAACTGCTGGAGACATTACCTCAACATCGTTGCATGTACAAATGAACGGGCCGCCGCCTACAGGCGCCGCCCCATAGACCTCTGCCGTCGCCACGGACCCCACGAGCCCGCAGCCCGCCGCCGCGCGGCACTACCTTGGCGGTGCCCTCCAGAATGCCGACGGCCGCCTCGGCCGTGATGCTGAACGTGTCGAGCGACTGGACAATCTGTACGAGACCGGTCAGATGGCCGGTCATCTGGCGGTCGCACTGGCCGCAGATGGACTTCAGGGCGCGCGCCGAGACCGTGGCCAGCTTGTCCACCCGCAGACCGGCCAGCAGGAAGTTCAGCACCGGCTCTGCGGAGGCGGAGGACAATTCAAGAGGCTGGCGATGGACAGGCGAACGACGTCATGGCGGGCGGGGCAGGTCTGCGAACGCGGGATGGGGGCGGGAGGGCGGGGCGACGGCCGGACTAACGGAGGCTGACCCTGGCTAGACGGGCCGGTTAACTGGGGTCACCCCAGTTGACCCCAGTTGACCACAGGGACGAGGCACATCGGGAAGATGTGGCAGCCTGCCACGTAGTATGGCAGGCGACGTGCGAATCAGACTCAAAACACCCAGCAGGGCCGTAAGAACCGGATAATAACATGAGCTCCATGGTCATGCATCTAAAACATGCGCGTCATTGTAAACAGAGGACTGAACACTGCATCAGGCGCCAAGATCTTCTAGAAGACAGTGGCATTCTTAAATTATGTGAGAATGTGAAACATGTGAGACACATATACACTTAACCACTGGAGTTAGTCACTACTATTTAGCCACTGGAGCCAGATTTCACCGCACGGTGCAGGCAAACAAAAGAATAAAACGACGCAGACAAAACAGTCGCTCAACATGTAGGCGAGAAAGCCCCAAAGCCAGCCGTCTTCGCGCATGTCTCCGCGCCCCTCTCACCTAGCACAGTGGAATGCTCGAAGATCCATTCGGAAAGCCCGTTGAGCAGGTTGATGGCGGTGAAACGCAGCGCCACGTGCACGCTGTCCGGCAGAGCCAGCACCGCCTGCACCACCTCCGGCACCACGCTGTCCTGCCGACTGCACCGGCACCAGCGTTAGACGGAAGCCTGCACCACCTCCGGCACCGTGCTGTCCTGTCATGATCAACCAACGCCACACAGGCCAAAAGTGTTGGCGGTTAAGCCACATCAGTCAGAGACATCAGCGGCCGGTAAATATGAGCTTCCGAACCAGTTTTTGACGCCACTCCTGTTCATACCCCGAATAAGTAGCATTTATGAATACAAATCATGCACGTCCACAGCAGCGGACTATCATTCATGACACATAATTCAAATCGAGTGCCAGAACAACCTACCGAACACGTCGTTTAGTTGCGTTACGTTGCCAATCGCTACCAATCGTTTCAGTCGCTCCCATGCGTCTTTCTTAAAGATTTAATCCGAACATTTTGAATGGACAGATTTCTGAGGTCAGAGCTCACGCTAAGCAGTGCTTGTTGTGCGAGCCCTGACCCCTACCATCCGATGGCGCAATTCCATGCCAACGGTAAAAATTTGGTACAGAAAGGTTGACGTGCCGCAAAGCTCAGCACGGTCCGTCCTGTCCTCTGACGTCATTTGACCTTTAGCGCGACAGCTGCCACCGGCCGCAGGCCACACATGTCAAGGACAAACAGCGAGCGCCCGAAGCGACTCGAGCCCACCCCGCCACGGGCGGATGAATCAGGAGGCAGGCGCTCTAACCAACTGAGCCATCGGGACGACCTAGATTCGTGCTCACAAACTGTCTTTGAGATAATATGATAGCAAGCCCTCAAAGCATTTCAACCGGTAGCTTCTAAGTACAGCTCTAGGCGCTCCTCCCCCTTCCACTTACGGTAGAATGTTCTTAGCGACGGTGGCCATGATGAAGAGAGCAGCCTCGCTGCTCTCCCAAGTAGCTGCCGGGTCCTGAAGGAACAGGAACATCTGGTGGAACACGTCCAGCGAGCCGCAGACGAACACGAAGTCGCGCACCAGGTCGGTCACCCGCGACCGGAAGTCTGAGAACTCGTCCTGGTCGTCGGGCGTGCCGTCCTGAGGGCACAGACGGAGAGCGGCTGTCAGAGCACCGCCCGGTCAGCACTGGGCGGTGGCGCGCGGCCAGACGCCGCAGCGACCGCGTCGGCTGCCACTTCACGGGGTGTGATCGGTACAGAGCAAGCGCGATAGTTTGACGACACTTCGGTCCATTAACACGCGCCCGGGTGGCCGGTTGAATGCCGCTCGCTCGGGTGGGGGTCAATTTAAACCCCTAAGATCGCAAAATTAAGAGAGCTATAAGGACTAAATTCACACGGTGTGTTGGCCTGTATGTGAACTTACTGGCGTCAAAATTTGAGGTCCCTCGGCTATGACCTTCGCGTCAGATAAGGCCAAACAAGGTCAATCAAACTCCATATTGGTGTCCAGTGCCGCAAGACCTTCTCAGGTAACGGTCCGAATCACATGATAGACTCCATCTGACAGTGCCGACTCACGTAATCAGACTCCATCTGACAGTGCCGACTCACGTAACCAGACTCCATCTGACAGTGCCGCCTCCCGTGATCAGACTCCATCTAACAGTGCCGCCTCACGTGATCAGACTCCATCTGACAGTGCCGCCTCACGTGATCGGACTCCATCTGACAGTGCCGACTCACGTGATCAGACTCCATCTGACAGTGCCGGCAGAGCGCCAGCAGAAGCATCTCGAAGTAAGGCTTGAAGCGGCTGTAGTGGTTGCTGCTCTTCATCTGGTACAGCTCCTCGGAGAGACGGTACCAGAAGTGGAACGTCACCTCAGCCACCTGGTGACGGAGCGCAGGTGAGACGGGCACGGGACGGTCCGCGGTATCACCTGGTACAGCTCCTCGGACAGACGGTACCAGAAGTGGAACGTCACCTCAGCCACCTGGTGACGGAGCGCGGGTGAGACGGGCACGGGACGGTTCGCGGTATCATCTGGTACAGCTCCTCGGACAGACGGTACCAGAAGTGGAACGTCACCTCAGCCACCTGGTGACGGAACGCCGGTGAGACGGACACGGAACGGTTCGCGGTACCATCTGGTACAGCTCCTCGGACAGACGGTACCAGAAGTGGAACGTCACCTCAGCCACCTGGTGACGGCGCGCGGGTGAGACGGGCGCGGGACGGTTCGCGGTATCAGCATGGTCTGCGTTACTACGCTGCTGTACCCCTTTCCGCACCTCCACTTGCCCTCCACTTCGGCGCGTATCTTCCTCCCTGCAAAGCACTTGCAACAAAATGCGCTCTGACTGCTTTGCCAAATTATCTTGACTCGCTAAATGAGTCTCGCAACTGCCAAACAAAACGCAAGATCTCCTGCGTGTGGCAGCCGCCACGTTCCGTTCTCACCGATCCTTTTCTCGGTCCTCAGCCGACCTACCCCCCCCCCCCCCCCCTGCTCCTTCAGTCGGTATCACCAGCGCGTACCTCGTAGTCATGGTGGCCGACGCAGACGAGGATCATGTCGAGCACCTGCATCGATCCTAGCCCCTGGCCGGGGTTGTTGACCAGCACGGTCACCACCGCCTCGCCCAGCTCCGTGAACACGCGACTGTAGTTGCGGCACCTGCGCGGGGTGGTCGGCGCTCCGGTAAGAGCACAAGCACAAGCCCCAACAAAATAGATCGGGGTTACAAGCCATGGAACTGGTGGCAGATCAGCCTTGTGGAGGTCTGGACACATGGGTGGATGGGGGACGAAATGCATTGAAGGGTGTCAGTTTGACTGTTTTTTTTTTTGTACAACAGACCTCAAGAAACGACACGCTGATTATGAAGAAGCGACGCATCCACCTGACAGCATTTCACGTCCATCACTCAGCTGCAACGAACCGCGGGGGAGACTGTCCCACCTGGCTACGTGTCTCACTTTTTTACGTCACACGCTATCGTCCCTAGCTTATGGCGCAGGCTTGTAAAAGTGTGCGCATTTCGCTGAGCGCGCGAAATTCGGAAGCATCAAAACGCCGGCTCCCCTTCAGCAACGATACCACACAGCTAAGCTAGCGTCGCACAAACTCGGTCGTGAGCATTTGCCAGCGCCAAACCACTACTCACTTGTCCACGAGCTCCTCAGCGACCGCCATCTGGTAGGGGTCCGCCAGTGTGAAGACGCCGGCGAAGAGCGCTTTGGCCAACGGGTGGTACTTGAGGTCCTCCTCGATCAGGAAGAGCGCTGAGCACACACAGTCGGTGGCCACCTCGTGCAGCGCGTCGGACGCCTGCGACGGTGGGGCAGGCGCACTGTCAGGGGGTACCCGTGCTCCCAAACAGCCAGAGAACGTGCGGGGTCTTCACCGCAGGCAAGCACATGAAGACGATAGAGCTCTACGCCCGGGTGACATTTTGCCATCAGACTTCAAGCCTCTTTCCAGGCGCCCCTGATTCGCAGGTCAATCACCATATGTTGCGCCACGCAAATGCCCACCACCTTTGACCCGCCAGGTCGACCCGGCGCCAAGTCCGGACACTACTCACCCGGTGGTTGTGCAGCACCTGGAAGGTAAACTTGAGCAGATCCGAGTCGGCCACCTGGATCAGCGCGTCCGCCGGGAAGGTGAACCACGAGGAGAGACAGCGCAGCAGCTTGGTCTGCAGGGCCGGCTCCGTGGTGCCCACGGAGCCGTTCTGTCCGGCCGCGCGTCAGGACAGCCAATGTTAGATTGGAACTTCGTGCGCGCGCGCAGGGCGGGTAGCCGATCACACAGCCGACGACAGTTTGAGTTGTTACACAGAAATGCAGACATCTCATTTTGGGGCACAGGCCTACCTGAACACAAAGCGCTTATACAACGTATGTGTGGACTGCCATAAACAACATGCCAGCGATGCATCTGTTCAGAACATGGAATACATCCCAGCAGCTCCAACACCGCAAATCACGCCACACTTAGCTCAGTATCCCCCGGAGGCCGGGCGTTGCCCGGTGGTAGCACGGCACCCGCCGCCGGCTGCCGTGGGCCGGCCCTCCACACCGTCGCCCACTCACCAGCAGGTTGAGCACCAGTGGACACGTGGCCGTGCAGTAGGCGGCCACCTGGTCGCGCCGGTTGGCGCCCAGCCGCAGGTGGCGCGAGCTGACCTCCTCCGGCAGCACGGTCAGCACCTCCAGCAGCGGCACCGGGTGCGACTCGCCAAACCGCGCCACCAGGTCCTCCACCGGCGTCAGCCACGACGACATCAGCAGCGCCAGGTCGGCCACCGACAGACACAGCTGCAGGCAGAGACGGGTCATCAGGCGTACAGTCCGGTCCCGGCTGTGCACACAGTGGTGCCGGCCACCGACAGAAACCGCTGCAGGGAGAGGGACGGCCCGGCGTGTGGTCAGGTCCCAGTTATGCACACAGTGGTGCCGGCCACCGACACACAGCTGCAGGGAGACAGGCGGCCAGGCGTGTGGTCAGGTCCCGGTTATGAACACAATGGTACCGACCACTGGCAGACACTGCTGCAGGTAGACATGGGCGGCCAGGTGGGCCTACACACACGGCTGCCAGGACAGATGGACCGTTTGGTGTCAGGTGGGCCTGCAGACAGCTGGTGGGAAGGGCCAGTAACATGACTTGAGTCTGATGTCAGACAATGGTGTGAGGTCGGCCCACAGATCCAGCTGCATGAGGGCATATGCCATCAGATGCACGGTCTCATGTCAGGCCTTGGGCGCGGTTGCACGAATGGGCGAGTGGTCAGGTTATGGCTGACGTCATAGATAACGTCGTAACATAATGACGTCATAGCTGACGCCTACAGACGCCAGCCATGCCAACAAAGCCAGGTACACTACACCCACCCAGCTACACAGGCTGTGTACTTAACACTGCAGGCTATAGCATAGAGAACACTGCAGGTCACAGAGAACATTCTGCAAGACTGCACGACACATTTTATGTAGACTTGTCATTGGTCATCAGCGTCATCGCCATTGTCATCGTCATCGTCATCGTCATCATCATCATCATCAAGTCATCAAAACCTTGCAAAGCTTGCAGTGTGCAAGACGATGCAGCATATGGCCTCTGACCAAGCAGGACAGCCGCGCGCACCGCCGCCGCGCTGCGCCGCCGGCCGGCCACCGACCTGGGTCACGATGATCTGGTTGGTGGCCTGCGTGATGCACGCCATATGCTCGAGCAGCGAGTCCTTGAGCGACGCGTGCGCCTCTGGCGGCAGCTCGTGGAACGAGTACTGGATCTTGGTGCGCATGGTTTGGGCGGCGAAGTAGCACGATTCCAGGTCACGCTTGTCGTGCAGCAGCTGGTCCGCCACCTTCCAGGCCACGATCTGCCGGCCATCCGCGTCAGTCTCCGCGCAGCCCGTGCATGGAGGGCCAACACTAACATGAAGTTTAATCAATAGGAATGTCTGTTTAAGTAGAAGGCAGCACAAACTAGTGATTGCTCATACTCCTTCTATACATTGAAACATCCCACCAAACATTGAAGCATAGTTTGGAAGGACAAGCCTGAAAAATGATCACTCCACCCACCTGTCACTCTAAGTTCCCATAAATTCCACCCCATAAGATATAAGCATATGCTATAAACTCCACCCATTTGCCCATATGAATTTGTACATCTTGCTTTACTTTGAACATCAAAAGCAGCAAGACAGTAAACATGGGGTGTACTCACTGACTGCTGCAGCTCCTGTAGCCATTTGGAGGCATGCTCCTTGCTGGTTGGGTTGGGGTCGTTATACAGCGTCTGGATCGCCTGTGTTACCAACTCGATGGATGGTGGAGTCTCCATAACTGCAAACGAGGCAAAAGACCAACATGCCGAAGAGTTCAACCACTGTGAGGATAGGGTGATGCACAATGTTAGACTCTATCACATACAACATACAATCTGGGCATCTGAAGTCAACCTGTGGCATGGCAAATAAAATGTTGCACTCTGGTGTTGTGGTAAGCCTTGTGTTGCGCTCCAGTGCTAAATGGTCAAAATGAAACTTGGATGTGGTATTCCGAGTTTGAGAGGCACGTTATTTTTGGAGCAGCTGTGGAACTCAAAGTTGGAGAAGCAAACATACATAACTGCTGGTGTCTACAGCAGTTGCAAAGCATGCCAGCTTTTTGTATGAGTCAAAACACGGTCACAATCAATCCACGAGATGAACTCATTTGAGGACGCATATGACTGATCTTGCAACTACAAACAGAAGCAGCTTGCTTATTTTTGCAACATAAATTCCATTCATATTCTGACACATGAACATGAAAAAATGCATAAAAAACAATGAGTTTCAGTACAAATCCAGTTAACACTTTAATGTGAGGTAGCTATCAGCATCATGTAGTATTTTACAACCAAGAAACTAATGCAAAAGTGTGACTGGTGCTGCATGATCAATATTGACACAAGGCCAGCTTTTACTACTTAACTCTTTGCTGGTGGCATAAACTGGCTATAGCTGGTTGCAACTGATGATAACTGAACTTGTTTCCTAAATGATCAATGTTGAAATGGGTACAAAACCTGCCCATTGGTGTGCAATGAAGGACACTGATCTAGCTTAATAGAGAGCATGTTACTAATGTAAGATCAATTAATGCATTGGCTTTAGGGCTGACTTCTTTCCTGACATGTGATGACTTACATACCTGTCAGTGCTTAAATATGGGCGGTAACAAGGCATGTATGGTAAACATGACAACTGAGCAGATGTGGTTGAGGTGTCAAGACAGTACTTTGCAAAGAAGGTATTTGACATGGTCCTCTCTCTCACTTCAGAGCCTAGCCAGAATCTCTACCAATATTAAGGTAAATGGCATTCTAATTGGAAAACACATGTTTCTGCACATTTGACCATAACTATTGGGCTGATAAACACTTCTATGACATATCAGCTGTACTTCACAGTACCTTCCATCATAATTACAATTGTCAATGTGCATTTTCACCTATTTGTAAATAAATTTAAGGTTTCTACAATACATAGTGTCTAACATTGAACATAAATCTACAACAAAATAAATCTATGTACAGTTTACCATGGCATAAGCATGCAGGGGCATATAAAGCAGCCTGGTGATAATGAGGCTTTATCTAGCTAATGCCAAATCACTAGAACCATGGATACCACCAGCTTTAATCATGTAACAGCTTATGTCATAATGTTCCTAGTTTGAGGTTTTGGGATGGCAGAGAGCACCAGTCATTTTCAATGCATTAGCTTCACCTCAGCCTCCTTACTATAATTATTTCAAAAACAGTGTATTACTCAACTCAATGCAGTAAACCAACTACTTCAATTCAATTTACATTTCACCATCCCCAAATCTAATATCACTCACATCTCATCGGGCAATGCTTTCCAGCATCCAACATAGGACTTTGTCCATTGATCAGCAGGAGGTTTTTATAGGAGTCAACAAACTATGGCAAAATCAAATAATTCTTCCTGGACATATCTAAGGAGACTACAATCTCAATTGAAACAGCAGCCAGTATGCACTGAGCAGAGACAGAACTTGTTTTGCATCAGGGTGATGCTTCTATGGAATGGCTCAACAATGAGAGTGGTTATGTCATCAAATATGAATGCATTCAAAAATAATCTTGGTAGGCACTGCATGGATACCAAACCATACCAGACCACCAAGTCATGCACACTGAGTGCCTGAAACTAGCAAATTTTTGGGATGGCTTCAGTCCATCTGACCCACTGCATATAATGAAACCTGCCCTACCCAAACACTTGAAATAACCATTTGAATACACTGCACCTAGCAAAATACAAGGTATTAAAACCACTCAAATGTAATGCAATGCACATCAAATAAAGGTAAGAGATAAAACATTTGTTATACAGTTACACTTTGCATAATACCTAGAGAAGTAACATCAAATTTTATAAATTTACTGGGAACTTGGCATGCCATATTTTGCATAGCTGAGGGTACTCCCATAGCAAGAATTTTAAAAAGCTATGATGCTTTAATTGTGCTGTTTCAAATTTTATCTAACCACTTCCATGTCAGGCCAGAATCCAAAAACACATTTCATACAAAACATGAATGGCATAGCAGTAACATCCTATCAACAATTTCAGCACACTATAAACACAAGTCACCAACTAAGCACAGGATCCCACCAATTTCAGACCACAAAGCCAATTTCCTTGAATTCGTGATATTACTTACATAATTTTAAGCAATAGTGCCCAATTCAAATTCAGACAAATATTCTGAGCATTGCACACAGTTCAGTCTGACCTGAATTTGGTGCAAGCATGCCCTGGGTCTAGTGCAAAGACACTGTGCAACCATCCAAGTGATAACAGGAGTTAAGCAAACTGGATTTAAGGCATAGTAGATAAGGTGGGCATCCATGTTTGACAAATAACATGGCGATTTAGCACACCCTAATAACCCAATCATCATCAGTAGCATGAGGTTGATGGTTATTTCACCATACGGGTATGCCAACTGTGATGGCTGACATATTGATCTATCCAATGAACCATTATCATGTTCTAGAAGCCCAAGCCATAAAGTTACAATCCATCAATGATTTATATTGCATGGTTTCTTGCAAATGTTTCGATAACCGGTCCCGAGCCGTTTCAAATCAAGCATCGATGTGTTGCAGAATGACGTCCGGGGGCACCATAACCATAGCTTACCTGAGAAGCCGAGTTCCTTTATCACAATATCGATGAAAAATTATTGAATTTTGATTTCTCTGCCCACACCAGCCTACATTCGCACGAAATTCCCACCCAACATTCGGAAGATCCCCGTGGAAAGCATAACCAACGCGGCCCGTTGCTAAAAGGAGGACGGTCACAAATCCCGCGGCCTTGTTTCGTGAACTGGCGCATGTAGAATATTAACCACTAAATTACATTCTGGGTTTCTTTACTGCGCCCATTCTGCTTTTTCGTGATATGGTGGAGTGTACGGTGTTATTTTTCAGGCTTTACAACCAGCTATTGCAACTAAATTCATATTTAACGTTGGGCACCGGTTCTTGGCGTGAGGGGTTGTGCGTGATTGTGCGTTTAAACTCGCTCTATCGTCACCGTCATCATCACGGTTCTTTAAGATCTGACCGATGCTGTACCTGAGTACATTGCCCGTTGATGTATAATTGGGCGTAAGATGACCTCAGTAGTCGGCGCGCCCTAAAACCTCATCCATTATCATCAGCATTAAGAAATGGTTGGTGATACTTTGTTTATTGATGTGTTGTTTACAGGCATGCCCGATGTTTTAATTACGGCATGAATGCAACGTAATCATCAATATCCTGTACTGCTATACCGATTTCCTTTACAACCAACTTACTGCATACAACATTAAGTGGGCAAATTTGCATTATATTTCTCAAGACCTTTGTTGTGCTGCCACAAGATGACACAACACTGCTTGATATTACTGTCATCTGCAAAACAAGGTTAGTAAAAAATGCATTATACATTTTCATCACAGCACATGTTCGTAGGCATTTACTACCAGACTTATATCAGTTGTGAATTCTTATATATTTTATTATTGTGAACACTTGTGCCAATTTATACACTGCGATTATGAGCTATTCAAAGCAGAACACAACATTGAAATTTCTTGTGCTTGTGTATGTTACTGTCTTGCAGCTGTCATGTCATAGAAGCTATTTGAGGGGCTATTTTACAGGTGTTTCAGCACAATCTTTCATTCAGAGCTGCACCTTGGTTCACTCATCATTTGCTATCCAGCTTGCTACACCAGGGGTAAGTGAAGCATATTGGATGCATGAAGATGTTCATCATGTGTGCATCAGTCACTATGTATGTTGTATGACAGTGATAACTTCATCCTCTTTTGCTCAAGTTTTTATTGTTGTCTATGTTCATATATGTAAATTGAACACATCAGATAAATTGTTTGTAGAGTTGCAGATTTTTTTGCCCACCATTGTGCCTGTTTCAAAATCACTTCTTTCATGCAGTAGTGTAAAAGATGCTCATATGTTAGACTCATCATTTTTAAAGACATTATGAGACAGCTGGCAGGCATGCTGTTCTATTTCAAACACATTGATTTGTTCTGCTTTCTGACATCATTCACAGGGCAAATACCCAGAATACCTCCACTCAGGTGACTCCACTGCAAAATGGATGGAAGATTTCAGGACCAAAGCACTAGCAGTCCCAATGAATGTTTCAATTGTTGATGGTAAGGAATATCATGCATTTAGATCCAGTGTAATCTGTATGGCCAAGTGAAAGCATGTGCAAAAACATTTATTGTGCCAGAATTATGATTTGCTTGAGAAGGAACCAGAATGTGCTTACAAATAAGCTACATTTGACATCAGTCAAGGTTAAACTGATCACATAAAAGAAGCTGTCAGAGTCAGAGTTGAGTATATTATCAATAATTGCTATGATCATCAACATATTAACATAGAGGCATGTATAGTATTTCTGTATTTCAACAATTTTGTTTGTGGACACTAGCCTAAATGTACATTTAGGTGATGACAATTATATGTGTACTGTTGATTGAAGATTTTATGCATGCTTGTTCTGTTATGAAAAGCAAGATGCTTACCCATTAGGCTGTATTTCACAGTCAAACAACAATTTTGGACTGAACTGATCAGTTCATCTGTGTGAGAGGACTCACAAAAGTTGCCTGGCAGGCCAGCTGTTAAACACCAACTGCCTAAACACTGCAAAGGAAATATGAGCTCGCGATGAGGATTTGTTCTTTCTTTGTCCTCAAAAGTTTGAGAGATTTGTTTTTTGGAGCAGTCTTCAATGGGAAGTACGTTATCAGCCCTGCGGGTGGCAGAACAGGAACAAGTGGGCAGAAAAGTTGTGATCAGATGCTCCAATTTTGCCATGGAGATCAAACAAATCCTTCCAGGGCTGACGCATAGCTTCCAGCCATGCCATGGCGTTGGTCCCTGGACACCTGCACGGACGTGATTGCGACATTGACTGGGTCCCGAGATGACGTACGCATGGCACGCCGCGAAATGTTCTTACTACCTCCCACACGAATGTCAGGCGACGCTACCACATGTCGGCCACCGTCAAGATGTGCGCTTTTTTGGCCGTCGTATTTGCTCGTCTCGGGTTACAGCCAATAAGATGTGTTTGTTAGCAGGCAATGGCTGTACTTTATTGCATTTGTCGTTGGCCGAACTTTCTTCCTTGAAGCCGCATGCCACTGATAGCAGCTCACCACCAATGCCAAGGCTAGGCTGTCTACGACGTAGTACAACTAACTATGCATTGGCTATGAAGTGACTCACGCACTATTAAAGTTAGACAAATCCCGTCTGTCCCGAACCAAATTTTGAATGCGTATTGTCGGTGCCGTTTCAAAGCCTGCATTCGTTACCATGCCGTGTGCGTGCCGTGGCTCCAGAAGTTAAGCGCCAGGCCGCTGCAGCCTCAAACGAAGTCAGATTCAGTCGTCGTTGACGTGCCCGCACGCTCTTATGCTGAGGCTATCAGCCGCCTGTGCGGTGAATGCACCGGGGTCGCTTGTCGCCGTCACGTGACCTCTCCCTCGCTCGGCAGCCAGCCGGTACTCCTGCCTGGTCATCCCGCACTGCCCCGGCGCACCGTACGACCTGGCCTCGAGCTCTGAGGTGGCGCTCATCCTGGCTCACTTCATGCAGCATGCAAGTGGGTGCCATCTCGCGTGATGTGCGATCGTCACAGTTGTGGCGTATGCGTCTCACCATTTCATTGCTATTGTGGCGGCTTATAATTAATTGACTGCATCGCATTGACCACACACATCATGCCTTAGTGTGCGCACCCCATGGATGTCTTGGTCATCAACCTTTTGTCGCGATGCTGTGATGGTCTGAAAGGGATAATGAGCCTTCATCTGAAGCGGAGCGGTGTTTTAAGTAGGCCATGCGTCACAACGAGTGTAAATAGGCACTAGCCACTCCTATTGACTGGCTGCCGCCCGATGCCGGCCTGTCCGCCCGATGTCGGCCTGTCTTCCACCCGATGCCGGTCTGTTCGCTCAGTGCCGGTCTGTCCGCCCGATGCTGGCCTGGCTGCCGCCCGATACTGACCTGGCTGCCGCCCGATGTCGGCCCGTCTTCCGCCCGATACCGGTCTGTCCGCTCAATGCCGGCCTGTCCGCCCGATGTGGGCCTGTCTACCGCCCGATGCCGGCCTGTCCGCTCAATGCTGGTATGTCTGCCGCCCGACGCCTCAGACCCCGCCCCAGTGACGACTTCGGCTGCCGTGTCGACAGAGCCTATCTGCGCCGTGGGGCACGGCGTGGCGGCGCTGCTCGCCACCTCCAGTCACCAGACCAGCTGGCCATTCAAGGACGTCTGTCTGACGGCGGTAAGTGACTCGGGCGGCGGGAGTCGCTCCGCCGAGCCGTCCGGGAGTCGCCCCGCCGCGCTGTCCGGGGGTCGCCCCTCCAAGCCGTCCGGGAGTCGCTCCGCCGAGCCGTCCGGGAGTCGCTCGGCCGAGCCGTCCGGGAGTCGCTCGGCCGAGCCGTCCGGGAGTCGCTCCGCCGAGCCGTCCGGGAGTCGCTCGGCCGAGCTGTTCGGGAGTCGCTCCGCCGAACTGTCCGGGAGTCGCTCCGCCGAGCTGTCCGTGCACGAAGCCCTGCTTTCAATGATAATTAGCGGAACTTGAATGCACATGTTTGTTCCAAGAGGCGGATGAGCTCAAGTTGGTGCCTTTGGGAGGATTGGCTGTACGCGAGCCGCTGTTGATGCCAGGTCTATAACTCGCTCACTTTGGCTGGTATGGGCGCTGACTCACCGCGGGGAGCAGTCGAACACCAGTCACGTGCAGTGCAATGTACAAAAACAAAACTCCCACGAGAACACTGGGTTTCCGCTTCGCCGGTGTTCTGCATCCTCTTCCACGGCGGCAGCGGCAGCGAATCTGCATCGTGACGGCTGCTCCGTTGCAGCCGACGCTGTACGACCAGAGCCTGGACCGGGACTTCTCGCAGTCGCCGGTGCTGGTGGAGGACGGCCTGCGCGACGGCGGCGCCCAGTACACGGGCGCCGCGCCCGGCGGCGTGCACGTGGTGGTCGACCGACACCTGGTCACCGGCCAGAACGAGGCGTCCACGCTCACCGCCGTCCAGAACCTGGTGCTCATATGCAACCAGCTCAAGTAGGTGCTAGCGGGGGCGGGGGCCACGCGTGGAACTGCGGCGGGTGGGAGAAGTGGCGATGAGGGCGGGCTGCGAAGTTTGTGAGGCCCTCACCGGGCAGACAGCTGACGCTCTGTCTGAGCTTCCATGTGTGGTGTTTGACGCGTGCGCTCCTGCACACTGCGGACTGAGACTGCAGACTAAGACTGCGCAGACCGCAGACTGAGACTGCAGACTGCACTTCTGCAGTGACTTACAGTTAATGTGGTGATGGGCCTAGCGTGGCGAAGAGTTACAGTACGGGACACGAACGATTGTTTTATTCGTGAGAACACCTCCCCGCCCAAAACGGTGTCCTCGCCCGCCTACCATTGTTTCCGCCCCTACCTGCTTAGGGCAGATTTAGACATTGCCACACTAGTGTCTTACACAACGGGTTTTAATGCTGCCCAATTTGCTGTTCACAGGAAATCGGGATGAAAACCTTTAGCTTCTGCGGCTACCGCGCAACCTGATTTCATAACCAGGTTGCCAGGTCCAGGTCAACCACTAAGTGATACGCAGGTCAAGTGGTGCCTGCTGGGCAGTGGCTGCCACAGCCCGTATTCCTTCACGGATCTGCGCTGAACTGGACTCCTTTCAGCAATGCAACATTCTTAAGCTTTCATTGGAGCTCTCGCTATTGTTTAAACGCTCGTAGCTTAATACTGCGGAGGCGAACCGTGGTATGTCGTTCAATGTCCAGAACTACTGCACCAGTGACCATGTATTGTCGCCGTAATAAATGACGCAACATACCAATAGATAGATTCCAGCAGTTGTCGCCAGAAGTGCCGGGGGACCGCCCACCTCCGAGGACGGCGGCTGCCAATGTCACAGATTGTCACCGCATGTCAACCGATCGCGTGCACCACTTACTATGCATCACACGGGTCACCATTCGCAGATAGCACATCCTCACCGTTACAACGTCCTTGAAACTACCACAATGCGCCAAAAACCACGGCTTGTAAATACGGCCCCACAACGACGCACCTGTAAACCCACGCGGACGACACAAGTAATTTATTGACACACATTTGGCAAGGATGAGACTTAAGCAAAAGTTTTCTGACAATTCGAGTTCGTAGAATTTCTGCAAAGCTCTAAGACGGGACTGTGGACAATGACCGTCCCCAACACGACGGCGAACACGACTGCTCACCGCACAGACTTCGTGGCCGGCTTCTGGCGCGCTCGGCGAATTTAGGTCACATTCAGCGAAGGCATTCAGTTTCCCTCATCCACCTCGACTACGCAAACTTGGAAACAGGGAGCGAAGAATTTAACATTGGAAAATGGTGAGTTCCGTGACGCTGTAACGCTCGCACAGGCCCGTGCCATGTCCGTTTCAACGACCTGCGTATCGGGTGGGCACTGCACTGCTGCCCTTCCGGTGGCAGGTGGGGCATCGCGCCGGAAAACAAAAACAGTCCGCGCGAGATCGTGCCTTCGACTGATGCCGCACATGATAGACGGTTTTCTATGGTCGTGCTGCTCCCTCACTGCGTGACGAACTGTGTGATGCCTTAACTCGTCCATTTTCCATTCGCCAAGGAGCGATTGAAACCGGTGACGAAACGCCGATGACTTGAAGAATCTGCCTTGTAAGCTTATAACTCGGCTCCACTGCGTTCAGTTACCAACATATCACAGGCTCGACTCTGCTCGAGTCTGGCTGAGCAACCAGTACCTCCAACCAGCCGTCGAAGACGTTGCAGCTCGTGCACCCCTAGATCTATCAGTGCTGTGTCGAGCAGCGCCGCTAACCGACGGCACGACCGGCAGCTACGAGAACATGTGCAAGCGATCGTGATGCCCATCGTGCAAGCTCCATATAAAACGAATAAAATATATCGAGTTACAAACGACGCAAAAGCCGCGCCTTAATGTCGCCGAGTGAGTTGGAAGAGTAGAAATTGGCCCGTAACCGCCGGCAAAGCCCGCCGCCATTTGTCCGAACGAAGAGCATTTGGTTTCGCGAGTTATCAATTCGTTGTCATCTACTGCTTGGTCTGCACCGGCACCTGATTCAAAGAGCCTGCCTGCTGCTGCTGCTTCTGCGCCGGGATCTGACCCTGCTGCTGCACGGGAATCTGCTGCTGCTGCACGGGAATCTGCTGTTGCTGGATGGGAATCTGCTGCTGCACGGGAATCTGTTGTTGCTGCACGGGAATCTGCTGCTGCTGCACGGGGATCTGCTGGAACTGCTGCTGCTGCATGGGTGGCGGCTGGAACTGCTGCTGCTGCAGCATGGGCGGCGGCTGGAACTGCTGCTGCTGCACGGGAACTTGCTGTTGGATGGGAATCTGCTGTGGCTGCTGATATTGTTGGCCCGAGATCTGCTGCTGCTGCTGCTGCTGGGCGATTGCTGGGTGTTGCTGCTGTTGTTGCAGACTCTCGATAGGCGCATGTGGCTGAAAAACGTTGCATTGTATACATATTGCATGTCCGGTTCAGAAACATGGTTCAAAAGACAACATGCCATGGAATCAAAAACAACATGCCAGTTGAATCAGCTGACTACTTGTGGCCACATCCGGAATTAAAAGCGTTGTTCATTGGCGTGTATCAGTGACGCCACCCTGGTGGGCGTACCACAGGTCGTGCGTCAATGAAGAGCCGGGCCCTGCTGCGAGACAAGGCGCGCGAACAATGTTCTACGCCCCCTCCCCCTCCCAGACATGTCAGAAGGTCCTCAAAAGTCATCGAGGGTCAAACTTACACGCTCAGCAGCAATGGTGTAGTCAAGAAACCTAGCCCAGAGCAAAAGCGCACCGCCGTAATCATCGAGTCATACGACGGAAGGATGTGGCCCGGAGGCATCGCACTGCAGGTATTGTGAATGGCAAAGGCATCGTCACTGTTAGTGATTGAAAGTGGCTGAGCGCCAAAGTACTGTAGGGGGCCGTCCAGTTCAGCGCAGGGCACGGCTCAGTCATGCCGATGGCTGGTTGACGTAAGGCCGCCGTGCAGCCGGCGCTCCCCGTTCCAACCGAGGCGAAGTCCTAGTCCTGACATAGTCTTAGTTAAAGTCCTGACATCGTCGGTGCCCCCATGAAGTGCGCGCATGCATCATGAAGCACTACCACGCAGTTACAGAAACAATCAACACCAGAACGCGGTGCACGGCAACTGAGCATCTAAGCATGAGCATCTTGGCCCCTCTACCCCTCCGGAGATGTCATACCGCCGCCAGGCCATGATCCCACGTGTCGCAAAAGTATGCATACCGTGACAATCTAGCCGCGATAGATCGTTACGTACAACGTCACCTTCGCTTCGTGGAGGGCCGTACTTGGCGTAGGCCCACGAAAAATGTGCACAGCTCCTCAAAACACTACCGCCCCGCTGCCCTGTCGTCCAGGCCGCACCAGCGGAGCACTCGCTCACGCCTCCTCCGACGTTCGCCCCCCATCGTCTGCGTGGCCGCCACAGCAGACGCTCACTCACGGGCACAAAGTTGGGCGGCTGCTGGGGCGGCTGGCCCATGCCCGGCTGGCCACCGTAGCCGGGCGGCGGCTGGTAGCCCTGGTGCGGGGGCGGCATCTGACGAGGGCGCGCTGTGACGTCACAAAAGCGGCACCCCAGGCGGGAGGCTCGGCCGCGGTCGCCGAGTCGAGAGTCGGGGCCAGCGAGTCACGCACGGACAAACGGGCACTCCAGGCAGGCCGGTGCGGGTGGTTACCAGGCGACTACAGGCTACACACCAGGGCTAGTTCGCTCGACAGGGACAGCTGCAGTACGGAAGACACCACGATCACACGGCGGTGCACGAGTCACGGGCGGTGCCGCTGGCGGCTAGCAGCGCGTCACGCCAAGCCAAGCTCACACACCACGCCTCCCTTCCCATCCCCAGTGCCAGGAGAGCGCCGGACTCCGTGCTCGCGGGTCGGCGGGACGCACCATGCCCATGTTGATCTGCCGCTGAATCTCGGCCATGCGCTGCCGCTCGTACGCCTCGTACTGCTGGCGGGCGTACACCTCGCGCTCGTTGACGCCCTCCCAGCCCTGGTCGGCCCGGTAGTCGTCGTGCTGCGTACTGGCCATGAACTCCTTCAGGCTGCGGTGGGAGCAGGCGGCGAACGTTAGAGTGAGCACGTATGTGAGACAGCGCGGATCGGAAGGTGCCGGTGCGAGGAAACTTGCCTCGGAGAAGTGCTTTGCAGTGGTTCGGGGTCGGGGAGTCGGCGGAATACACGCTCCTTCCATGCACGAGAGTCGAATATGCAAGCGAATGTGCTGGAAATCACTCACGCACCTCCAGGCTGACATCTTCACGCCTCACCGCTAGCCGTAAATCCGAGTCGACAAAAGTTGACGCGGTGCTAATGTCCATCGTACTTTGACCACCGGCTGGCGTTCACAGAGCAAGGGCGTGGCTGCCACCCACCTGATGAAGCCGTCCTTGTCCGTGTCCACCTCGGCGTAAGTGCTCTCGCGCATCTCGTTCATTTCCTCTTCGCGCTCGCGCGGGTCATAATCGGTGCCGTTGTACAGCTTGTCCAGCTCGCGCTTGAACAGCGCCATCACCTCCATCTGGTCAAGCACCTCGTTACCGTCCAGGTCTGGGGGGGGGGGGGGGGACCGGGTCAGTGTCAGCAGCCCGCCGGCACGGGTCGGCGCGGAGATAAACCGTCGACCAGCCTGCCACCAGCTACGACGCACCGACGCTGCCCCAAAACATGACCTCACATTCGCCGTTAGTGCTTACCCATGCATAACCCCATAGTGCTGTCGACATTGTTGAATGCTATGCCGCGTCCCCGACCAAGGCACGGCGAGTAGCTACAGTCCTCTGACCACGCATCCTTCAGTGCGGATGTCATGCCTCCTGCGCCATCCCAGTGCATCGGGCGTGCGCTGCCCCCCCCCCCCCCTTCACCCACCACAAGTGACCGTGTATGCGGAAGAAGGTCTCGGGGTCGAAGTCCTCCTTCTCCATGTGGTCCTGCCACCCCCCCCCCTTCACCCACCACAACTGACCGTGCATGCGGAAGGTCACGGGGTCGAAGTCCTCCCTCTCCATGTGGTTCTTCCCCCCCCCCCTTCACCCACCACAACTGACCGTGCATGCGGAAGAAGGTCACGGGGTCGAAGTCCTCCCTCTCCATGTGGTCTTGCCACCCCTCCCCCTTCACCCACCACAACTGACCGTGCATGCGGAAGAAGGTCTCGGGGTCGAAGTCCTCCTTCTCCATGTGGTCCTGCTCCTGCCACACCTCCTCCAGCTGGTCCTCGCTCAGCGGGTGGTGGACCTGAGACTGGACGCCGCGTTACGAACCGTGCAGGACCGGGCGGCGAAGCGACGTTGACACTCAAAATGTCTAGCGAAAGGGCGTCGGAACCGAGCAGCCGACCGAGACGCCAGCACAAAGGCAGCCGGCTGGCCACACTTTCAGCTGGTACAATGTTCTCCCTTCTCAATCACAAAACATACATATAAATATTCACTTAACAGTAACATCCTGTCTAGCAATTATGCGCTGCAAAGAGCAAAAACTGCAAAGCGTGCAACGCACACCGGAAATAACAGCAGGAAATTGCAGCACAAAAATGCACTTATGAGACATCTTTGGCGAAGGACCACCCCTCAGCCATGAATGGATCCAGTCCCTCCATTTCCCTGCACACTGGAGTCATATATTTTAGCTATAACAATGCACAACACATTTTTGTGTGGGTGTTGACCGACGTCGAGCTTTCCTGCAAAATAATGCAATTCAAACCAAAAAGTACACCCATTATGCCACTGACATTGAAATCCAAGGTGGGAATGAGAGAAGTATACCTTTGGGTGTTCCTTCTTTTTCTTCTGTTCTTCCTCGTGCTTCTTTTCCGCCTCTTTCCTGTGCTCCGCGTCCATGGCCTTCAGCTCCTCCTGATACTTGAACTCCTTTTCCATCTCGTACTTCTGAAAGTCCTCCTTTCGCTGCCTATCCAGGTCCTCCAGATCTTTGGTCGTCTGTCAAAAAGTTTAGAGACATAAGCCGTCCATCCAAATGTCCTTGCGTCTCTGGCAGCCCGTGCGGTGAACGTATTTTACATTACATTAGCGTTAAAGGGTGTATACCACAGTTATATGGGGTTCTGAACTAAAATAGCAACCTTGAAGACCTTTTGGTGCTACTCACAATCCTACCCTTCTTAAAACCTAAGCCCCACTAGTTTCTGAGCTCCATGCTCGCGAAAATGGGGAAAGGCACATTGGGGAGAGGATTTCAAAGTCCCCTTGTCACTCCTGACGTCATAATAACGTCACTCAAACCCTCCCATTTCCTTTGTCAATGCGCCGATTAAGATCAATAACAATAAAATCGTCAAACAGTTCATATCTGGCGTTCGTGAACGCAATTTCCAGACATAACGACCGTATACTAGCTCTCAATCAATGCTGTGCAAAGTACGATGACGTAATCAAACCATCACGTATTAAGGAGCATATCTAATCAACCGAGAGTTGTGCGGTTTAAAACCGTTCTTCCACTTAAAAAGTAGTTTCATCCCATCTGATGCCTGCTTCATTATCTTCAAATCTGAAACATTCCCTTTAACAAGGAAAAGGCCAACAAATTCTGCCACCAAAGGCCAACAAATTCTGGTTCGGCCAAAGAGTCCTGTCACCGGCCTTTCTTATGGGCCTTGTCAATCATGAGATCCGCACTCGAAGCACAACGCACTTCCTATATTTTGACGACCTTACTTGGCATGACGGAATAAATGGAAACTCCGTTGCCAGTTTTACCTGGTAAAAGTAATGGAAACTCCCAACGCTAAATACATATATGGGATTGTTACGCCGAATGAGTGTTTGCCTTTTCGAGCACACAATTTCCACATTAAACAACATGCGATCACACAACTAGCCCCACCTCTCCACCTCCCTATGGCCCTCCCAAATATACGATGCGCAAACACAAATAAATCTTATCGCCCGAAAGAGCAAATCGCTTGTACCACCACATCAGCGCACTTGAACAGGTAACTTGCACCGCGCGACCTCCTGCCCGCTGCCAGCGCGTTCTGGGTGCCGACCTTATGGATGAGCCGGCGCAGGTCCTCCTCGCGGAAGGTGTGCGGGTTGCGGTGGTCGAGGTGGTGCGGCTCCTTGATGGTGTTGCGGTCGAGGCCGTTGGAGAGCTCGAAAGCCTCGGTGGCCTTTTGCCGCAGCCGGCCCAACTCGATCCGCTTCAGCTCGTCCAGTTTGGAGCGGATGGCAGGGTCCACCACGTGGAGTTGCTCCGCCACCTGGCCCGACTGCAGCGGAGGGGAAGGGTGTGAGGGGCCCGACTGTAGCGGCGGGGAAGGGTGGGAGGGGCCTGAATGGAGCGACGGGGAAGGGTGTGAGGGGCCGACTGCAGCAGAGGGGAAGGATGTGAGGAGTCCGACTGCACCGGAAGGAAGGGTGTGAGGGGGGCCCCGACCGGAGTGTTGGAGAAGAGTGTGAGTGGTCCGACTGAAGCGACGGGGAAGGGTGTGAAGGACCCGATTGGAATGGTGGGGAGGGTGAGAGGGACCTGACTGAAACGGTGGGGGAGGGTATCGGGGATCCAAATGGGTTGGCGGTGGGGGTGTGGGGTCCGCTCGAGTGACGGGGGAAGATGCGCGCGGATAGGTACTGTGTAAGACCTATTGGGCGCAGAAGACTGAGTGAGGGCTGTCGCAGTATAAGCCACCAGCTTCCACTCTGATGTCTGATGTCTGATGAAGGATATCAGAAACAAACCCGAAAGCCAACACAGCATAACTCGTTCGTTGTGAATCATTGAGAAAATGAGACCAGATCGTGCCCTTCAAACACTACACAACTCGTTCGTGGTGAATCCTTGAGAAAATGAGATCCGATCGTGTCCTTCGAACCCAAGTTATCTTTTGCGTTTGAGTGCCTGTGCACCTGTATCGAGTGTGAACAGAACGGCTCGTTACCAGTCCTGCAGCGAGCGCAGGTCGCCGCGACACCTGAACAAACACCGGCCGAGTTTAACACCTGCCACGGCGCGGGCCCCCTCCCACGGCCGTCGCCGGAGTTGGCGACGCGGCCCGACACGGCTCGCCCACGCACCGCTCGGTCCGCGGCGAGCACCAGCGGCTGAGGCGGGCCAACACAGCCAGGACGGCCCGGTCTGGAGCTGGCGGCCGGATGCCGTCGGCGGCGGGAGGTGACCAGGGGGAGGAGGAAGGTGAGTAGCACGGGGCGCCCGGGGACCGCTGGGAGGGGGAGGGGTGCGGGGCGCCCAGGGACGGCTGGGAGGGGGGGGGGGACGGGGCGCCCGGGGACGGCTGGGAGGGGAGGGGGGGACGGGGCGCCCGGGGACGGCTGGGAGAGAACTGATCTCAACAGGCGGCGTGTCATCCAGCGGCGCCGGTAAAGGCGGGGGGAGGGGAGGGGAGAGGCAGGCAGTGTGGTGTAGAGCGTCATCCAGCAGACCAGCCGACCTTATCGAGTCATGCTTTCCGAAACGGGGTGTGTGACAGCGGGCCGCCAGACACCAGACACACAGGAATGTGTATATTTGGTTTAACGGTTTGCTCAGGCCGGACTGCTCCATTTGTTGCCGCGAAGCATAATCTGCGGCTCGCGGTACCAGAACGCACCTGCAAAGCAAAACAATAGCCAAACCGGTGGAAACTGCCCCCGCCCTCCCTCGCGCAGATAGCCTTGGCAGCTCCAGGTGCGCTCGACCTGGGCGGTTGGGCGTAGTTTGGCTGGTTTTCTGCTGCAATGCCACGTCAAAGGTTGGCGGAAATACCGGACTGGCGAGTTTTTCTGTGGTGTTACGCAAGCTTTCTCCCGACAACGCTAGCTCAGGCACGGCATTGATATGTGGCTTGTTGTGGTTGGCTGTATGGTGGCAGTCAAATGAAAAACATCACAATGGGCTGAAACATGTGAAGTGATTAATTAATACCTTAAAACAAAACATACTTGCAGGTCCAGCAAAACAGACCCATCAACTTAAAGTATAAGCATTATATGTTGCATCAACTTCATAAATGATAGGGCAACAGGCTGCATTTGGAAGGTGAAGAGTCCAGCAGCCTTATTGGAAAGTGTAGAATAACCATCAAACTCGAGCATACCTTTATATCCTCATCAGTCGCATTTTGCAGAATCGTCTTGAACTTCGAGTCTTGCTCTAACAGCTTCACAATCTCCTCCAAATAATTTTTATACTCCAAGCCCATTGTCTGCAAAACAATAAGTTGTGAGCATATGTCAAACAAGTACAGAATTTGAAGAGGGGCTATAGTTTGAACATAGTGAAACACTGAACAATTTGATGGCATACATACTTCAATAATAGCCAGGTTATGACTTTCACCAGGAAAACTGATTGATTCAATCATTTCCTGTAGCTTACCTCAGAGTTAATGTTGATGTCCTCCTCAGCTACTGGTGGCGGCTGTGGCTGGCGGTGCGGGGGAGGTGCCACCGCCACAGCCACCAGGGCCATATAACACACAAGCTTCAACAGGGGTGCCATCTGCTTGTGCCCTGGAGTAAAGAGTTACCACTCAGGAACATGGCTCATAAGCAGCTATCCCCTCCTGCTTTGAACAACCGGACAGCACATTGTTAATCTCTGGCCTGATCCTCTCATGGACGTCACATGACCGGGACAGCTTGCACACCCTAAAACCAAAGGCATCATCATCATCCCCTCAGGTAGAGGTGTGGAGCAGTGGTGCAAAATATCAGCCACAAAGATCAACAACAGTTTTCTTAAAGTCACTTTGAGATCCATGTCACTCATTATGTCCATCACAATTGCTCAGTTGGTAAGAATGCCTGCCTTCCAATCCAATCACTGGTGGTTGGATGGGTTCCAGTTGCTTCAGGCACCATTATTTGACATTGACAGCTATAGCATGCAGGTGGGCTTAACATCAGGCATTGTCAGAGGGAAGAATAAGCCCTGTGCCTGTGTTGAGGCATGTGAACTTTTGAACCAAATTCTGCAGTTGACTGAGAATTACACAATGAGATGGTAGGGGTCGGGACTCACATAACAAGCACAGCTTAGTGTGAGCTCTGATCCAATAAAGCCATCCATTTAAAAGCTTCAAATAAAACCTTTACTCAAATAATTGTGTGAAAAACATGCCAACAAAGAGTGCCAATATCCCTCCCCATGTGTTTTGCAGATATATCTTGAGTTACCTGGCATATAATGACAAACTTTGGGTTAACTGAACTTCAGGGCCTCAGACCTGACCTGGCCAAGCCAACAGCACATTATTTCTTAAGCACTACATTAAAATATTACAAGTTTTTACTCAAAGGCCTGTCCATCATGAACAAGGCTCATCAAAGTTCCAAGACATGTTCCAGACACAACATGCATCTGATCTTCTTATCAAGTGGTTCTCATAGGGTGTGAGATATGAAGAATATGGCTAATACTAGTGACCTTTTTAAGGTCATTTAAGAACAAGGTTACATCATGTCACCCTTGAGAATGACATTTGATCATCCAACATCATGACTACATCACATACCAGAATGACCTGCCATGTATTGAAGAGTATATAAGACATATGTGAAGCCATCATGCACTATTTCAACCAAAGCAGCCAGGTCCAAAGAGGTCACTGGCCATTAGTAGCAGTAGCAATTGGGTCATTAGGTGTGATTTCGAGAAGTTCTTTAACACCTGACTTCCCAACCTTGCTCGAGACATCCTGGCCCCATATGGCTGCGGCAAACAAGCCGTAAAATCGAAAGCAATATTGCCAGATAGGTACGACCAACCTTTAAAAGTGCAAAAAAGTTGAAATCCGATGGCTTGGTCCTTACCTGGCTGGCAAAGGTGAATATTGTCGAACTATTCGCGGAGCACAGCTGCAGACTGCTCCCCCAACGATGCGTGATTCAACACAGACACACAGTGCTGGATTTGCCCCGCCAGCGCCTGCAATGCCTCGTCAACATAACAGCTGATTGTAGTTATTGCTACCAGTTTCCATTTACCTTCAAATAACTTCTTACATACCTTAGATTTTTAGCGCAATAGTGACCGCAAGCAAACGTTTCTATTGATGTCACGCATTTGTTTAAAATAAAAATTTATCAATCGCTGAATATCTCCCCTGACCGTTATTTTCGGTAATAACGGCAAACAGAACAGCTCACTAGACAATTAAAGAAAACTATTACAACGTGCTTGACAAAAGTATGAGAGTTGGTAGCTCAACTTCACGACAAACTTCAGAAAAATGCGGCGATTACAGCGCGAGCCCCCTTGCAAGCTCCCTCCATTGCAGTACGCGATCGAGCGGTAAGGTTGGGTGTGCGGGTGAAGCGTGGGGTGAGAGTCGGTGGTCCGTTGGGAATGAGGTGTGAACAAGTAGTACCGAGGGATTAGATTATAGATGCTGGATTGAGCGTTTACTGGCGGCTTAGAAACAAGTTTTGTTGGATTCGAGTGGTGCGCTTATGAACATTGCGAGCTCATGGTGGCGTAACTAAGTAGTTGACTTTCTTCATCTTTGTTTTTATGCTACAGTAGCCTCTTATCTTTTGAATAGCAACGGTGAGGCACGGACTGTACTGCAACTATCTGCCAGAGACTGATATGGTTGTAAGGTGAGTAGCTGTCTGTATGCAGTGAATTATTTCTGTGTGCTTTCTCGCTGCACTGTCCCCCCCCCCCTCCCCATTTCAGTATCTGCCCCTTACAGCGATTTCCAAGACTCTGTCCTCTCCTCTCCAAGTATTTTGAGAAATTGACACCAATGCCTCTAAGCTGTATAATATTTCTGAAAACCTTCACAATAAAGGCAATGGTGTGCCAAAGACACCTGGCTCCACCCTTGATCTTGTTATTAAGTGTTGCATCATACATGAATATGCCATAAGGTTGTTTTTCTGGGATCATACCTTAGGCTTTCTTTTCCTTTTAAGGAGTGCTAGTGATGGTGAAAAGTACATATGGATGTGTTTGATTGAACAGTGTGTAACATGCCATGATACTTTTCAGATATGCTGTATGAGACCTCCAAATGTGGCATGTCAGTTTCATCATGTATTGTTTTTTTTGATGATTATTATGCTTGGATATCATGAAAACAGTTACAAAAGCTTGGGCCACCAGGGTTGGCTGTCCAGTTGGTATGGGTTCATTGCATGATCGGGCTGCTAAAGGTCCACTCTCCTCACGGAGTGGGTCCTACACAGTGAGTTGCCTGTGTGGTATTAATAATATTGCTTGATCATGATGGTAGAGGTACAGTCCAGTATAATTTTTATCTCTTGAGATGCATGACCAAGATTATGACATCATGGCTCACCATCCCATCAGCACTTGAGTATGGCATACTGACACCATGAGACTTTGTTTTGATATACCCAAACATGTTTACAGACCATAGTCATCAATATTTGACATAGGACTTACTTACTAAAAAGCAGTTGCATGCTGTCCATCCCAAAATAAGGGCAAAGGTATGGGGCATAAGACAAGGCTGGACCTAGATTGCTGGTCACCTAGGAGAGATGGGGGGATGGGGGGATGGGGGGGGGGGGGGGGGGCAGGGACAGGGGCAACTTTGGGTTAATGTGGGTCAACATCCAACAGTGCCCTGAATTTTAAAACAGCTTGTTGAAAACATGTTTCTTTTTTCTCATTGAGTATCTTGAAATTTCAAAAAAGTACCAATATTTGCCCAGTTTGAGCCATCCTGGAGAGCCATGCTTCCCCAGAACTACCCTTCACATGAATACTATATGAGCCACAGGGGCCCTCTAGTGTGATTATAATGGTTGGGGCCTTACATCTCACTGACCACTAGGGCCATTTTGAGATGCCCCTTTGTGATGCACCTGCCATGCTCTGACAAGTAAATAATACAAATAAAGTTGCTCATCACAGTTAAATTGGTGGAGTTTTTACATTCATGTGCCAGTACTTGTCAAAATTAGACATGTTCATTGACAATGGCACTGCTCATTACAGACATACCTGCCCAGGCACAGTTTTGACAAAGGGCCCCTGGAAAGTGAAAGAGCCCCCCCCCAAGAAGTGCCAAAATGGGTCATGTCTAGATAAAGGCATGGTTTTTTGTGATAGCTTATATTTCTACCATCTATAGCTGGGGTAGAAGCCAGGAGCTGCCATGAGGTCAATTCCACCAGAATTGTATGGTCCAAAAGATGAATAAGTGCCTAAAAGCTGACAAACTATTTTGAACCACAGCATGAAGTAACTCGCCAGAGCTCACCACTTTACAAGGGTCCACTGGATTCTTCTGATCCGATGCAACTCAGAACCTTTGTCAAAATTGTTATCTTGATTCTACTGACATGCTAAGCACCATGCGAATGTAGATTGTAGATCGAAAGTGGTCAACGATTTGTAGTAACATAGCTAAGCCAGAATTGTCTGGAAATGGCCAACATTCAGTCAGCATTAGTTAGTGATGCAAATTGTGTAACAGAGTTTTGAACATGCGTGCTCGCAAACCTTGGCATCAAAACCTCGACGCCGGGCGCTGCCGTCTCCGTAGCCCGCGCAGCGTCGGCCCGGCGGCTGATGCTGAGCCTCGGTCAACGGCCAGACGCTGGGTGCTGCCGTCTCCGTAGCCCGCGCAGCGTCGGTCCCGGCGGCTGATGCTGAGCCTCGGTCGACGGCCAGACGAAAATTGTAACGTTTCTGAAAGAAGAACCTTTGAATGCCTTAAGACATCGGATGTCACATTTAGAAGGTAGTCCGGGCGAAGGGCCCTGCACGTGTGTAATTTTTGGATGGATGAGAGGGACGCATTGGGCTTTACGGCACCGGGAAGTGGCGGTGAAGTCTGGTGGTGGAATTGAACGTGCGACGGCAGAGTCTCTATTTTTTGTGTGTTGCAGTATCCGTTAATCTGTCTAGAGGACAACCTAAACGCTTTATAAAATAGACGCCTAGCCTAATCTTAATTTAGACAGATATTCGTAGCCATCATTTCACGACGATCGCTCTTGTGCGCATGGCGCCCGCCGCCTCATGTCACTGGTCAACGCCGTTTGATTTTACGGAGGCTGCAATCCAGGCCATCGCTGTCCCTACTCCTGAGATTGCGGGTACGCCAGCCCAAACCTTTTGGTATAATTTGTTTCGCTAGTCGATTTTGCAAAAGAATGAACGTTCTCAGGCAAACATGGATAGCCTTGTTCGTTTTTAACTCATTTGACTCACTCTATTCAGCAATAATGAGACCCCTTATCTCTTTCCGGGCAAGGGGCCCACTTGAGTGAACACTAGGGGCACATTGCTGTTCCCGGAAAGGGATGAAGGGTCATTCCGTCCCACCACAGGGTGTCTTCTGGCTGCCATTCTGGCGACACGGGGCGGGATCCCCTGGTCGATCCGGAGACCCTTAGAGGGATACATCATGTTACACTGTTCCTCTCCTTGACGCCGGAGGCCTTCTCACCGGCGCAGTTGCCTCGGATCCATGCAGAAGCCCTCATTGACGCAACAACGTCCCTGATCGCTGCAGGTGGTCCATTAATTGTCACGTGGTCTCCAGTGCTGGAATTGGGGATGGAGGGCCACGGTTCGGTACTGCGGCCCCTGACTGACACAGGACCCGTCCATTGTCTCAGTATGAACATTCATCATAAGGTTTCAGGTTTTCTTTCACTGTCAGGGGGCCCGATCAACGCTAGAGGCCCCGCGCCATTCGGGGTCCCGCCCTCGTTCCTGTTAGCAAATATTTCCATGACCGACTCGAGTCCCCCTTTTGGCACAGAATGCCCCGTTGGGCACTGTTGGCCTCTCATCGGTACAGAAGCCCCGCATTGTTGCAGGGGCCCTGACCAATGTAAATCACGACCCAGCCTTGTCCCTGCTTGGCAAATGGGCCCTGAGAGCTCATACCAACGTGGAGCCAACTGTTCGATGTTGGTGGTATCTGGCCGAAATAGAGGAACGCGCTGTCTCAGGAGTCCCCAATCGGTGCAAGTGACTCTCTTATTGACATTTCAGGTCACGGCGTTACGGGGGAGGGGTCCTTAATTTGACCTACAGCCAGTGCTTGGGGCCTTCAGTCATCCAATAGGGCCTTTGATCTTTGGTCTCGAGAGACCATCCGGCTGCACTTCGGGCCCCTTAAACGACACTCCTGGCCGACTCGGGGCCACTTGCCGCCACAGGACCCCTGTTAGGCACTGTGGCTCCTGGCCGACACGGAGCCCCTCATTGTGTCAGGGACCTCGAGCGTAGCAAGTCACGGACCCTGGCCTCGTTCCTGCTTGGGTCCAGAAGGCTCAGACGGACATGGAGTTGGCTGTCTGACTCCGTGTCGAGACCCTACAAAATAGGGATAGAGAATCCTAATAAGAGGGCCCTTAAACAATCCGTCTGACTGACATTTCAGGCTGCGGCACTACGACTGCGAGTCTTTGTGTGACCTACAGTCAGTCTTTCAGGCGCATATGCCCTCCCACTGGGCCCTTAGGCGTCGGTTCTCGTGGACTGCCGGGGTCCTTTTTCGTGCTTCATCGAACAGTGCTCTTAGTCGGCTCGGCCCCTTGCGAACATAAGATCCCCTGCTAGGCGGTGTGAGCCCCCGACAGATACACGGTCCCTGACTAGTGCAAATCGCTGACCCCGGATTATATTCAGATCGACGTATAGGCCATTATCGACTCAGGGGGCCCCTGATCAGCGCGCAGGGCACTCTGGGCTGGCATTAGAGTGCCGGCCCTGCCGGCCGGTACCCCTGAATACGAACCCCGGCCGGCCTTTCGGTCCCTCAAACCGGGTCCGTAATCGCAGTTTCCGAGGGACCCGAAAGGACTGGGAACTCCGGGACACGTGCCTCCTGTGCCCCCCCCCCCCCCCTCGGCATGCGGTACCGATAGTGTCCACATCATGTCTGATGCTGCATCCCGTTTAGCTGAAACTTCTCGACTTACCGATAATTTTACCGATAAAATAGGTGCATTTCAGTCTATGGAGAAGGGAAAATGCGCAGTCATTTACCCATCATTTCAGAAAAGGGTTCTCAACCTTCTCCCAAAACGCAAGGCACGTGCCCTCCTCTTGATTGTACCTTCCCCGCTCACTTCATGAAACATACGTTGCCAACCAGCCGTACTTCTAGGAGGCGCTGTTCCAAGCTGTTGTGATACCGAGGGGAAAGCGACCCTAGCCTGCTTTAGTTCGAATCTACGGCAAACGAAGCGACTATAATGCCAATGTCACGCGCAAGCGCAGGTTGATTATAAAAGCGCTACTAGTTGAGCTGGCTCTTCAGTGACCATGTTCGTCTGGGAAGGCTCAGCTTTGGTGCAGAACTGAGCAGTGGAGGAATTACATTACATAGCTTGGACCACGCGAGCTCTCAAGCTCCAGAACAAAAATTCCGATGCCCGGCGTTGCAGTCTCCGCAGGCTGCACGCTCGCTCCCGTGCCGATAGTTGGTACCGTAGCCGGTGAGCGGACCAAAACGACGACGCTTGTGAGAAAAGCACCTTTGAACGATTTAGGACTGTCAATTCGCACGTTTGAAAGGTGTTCCGGGAGCATGTTCCACGTGCGCAATTTAACAGGAAAGGACTAGCATTCTCAGCGCCGCGAACCAGGGCCGAATTCGGCGGTG